CTGACCCAATGGGTTCATGAATTCTAAATTTCTGCCAATTCGCGATAAGTGAGATGCTACTGTTGAGGGTAGTTTTTATTTTCAGATATAACAATAACCATTCCCGTTAGAGACAACTAAACCATGTTTCTCTCAAGGTTAATTTGCATTTCCCGTTGACTGACTATGTTGCTGCACCGGAATGCTCAGTCCCTGTTGATATGTCGACTCCTAGCACCAGTGTTTCGATGATGTCTAAGGGTTATTGGGGAACCATTTTGGATGGTGGTGAGTAGTAGTGAAATTTTGGATGGGCCTTTCGTCCCACTTCAGGCTCGTCATCTGAATACACCCGCCTCCTTACCAGTGAGTGGAGGTGTTTATGGGTCCAGCTTTAGTGGTAATGTGGCGTGTGTTACTGACAAGAATTACCAGTAGTATGGAGATGGAAGCTGATAGGAAGCGGCCAAAATTAAAAGCAACATTTTAAGTCAATGGATTCATAGGCAGACGTGTTTATTCCTCAAATCTAGATCTAGTTTACATTGTGGACATGAGATAATCTCATTGGACAACTTTTCGTCTAATTGTTTCACCTTGGGCCAATCGCCAACCAGTCAGAGCAGTTCAGTCTTCTATGATCTAGCCGAGTTTTTATATGGTTAAAAATGTATAAATATTATGCGTTTTTGCTAGATAAAAAAGTTAGTTTTCAATTCTTTTGTCTTCTGTCGTTGCAGAAACACCATCGCTTACTAGCGATCACATATACATTCATCTGATGAGTCCCAAATAGGACGAAATGCTTATCCTAGACTACACTGCTAGTTATTATCCGGCACAATTCCTTCAGAATAAAATCATATTTTTGAAATCAAGGTTAATTAATTAATTACTTCATAAAGTCAAACACCGAAGGCAAGTGAACATGTAAAGAGCGCTCTTAAGGATGTTAGGAAGCTGTAAATTGGTGGTTTAGCTATTCAATAGTTCAAAACTGTGTATTAAGAGTTCGTACCATAAAGAATACCCTAGTAAACTGCCTTCCAAAGTGAAGAATAAAGATAAGGTCTAAGAAAGAAATTCTGTACTTCGCCTGTTCAACAACAACAACAACAACTGATGACTTCGGAAGAAAAAAACTTGCAACTGTGTTCATCTAACTGGAAACTTAATTACAAATAAATAAATAAATGAAAGTTTCTGTTGGTGAGATGGTGAGAAAAGTACACACAAACAAGACATGTATACAAACGTTTCCAAGTCTTTCATAATTAATTACATATCCAATAGTAATTCATTTTTTATCACCTAATAATCTGAGAACGTTGACACAATCTCTTCGCTGTAACCTTATAAATAAAATCACTTTCTATAGTTTTGGTGGGTGCGTACTGCCGATGATTCCCAAACTAGGATGAAACAGCAGCTGTCCAGTACTCCCTGGTTTTCAATGGTTCTCTAACTGATATCAATCCGTGATCAACTCGTGAAAAAAATCACGCTTTCCAAAAAACTTTCTAGACGTCAAATACCATCCAAATCATGAGGAGGTTATAGGTTAAAACACTCGACCTGTAACCATAAAGTCACGAGTCCATGCCCCTTTTGGACACCTAATTAGTATTGCAGTATGTGCTACTGACAAGATTTATCACCAGTAGTATATAAAGAGACGTTCGTCGGCACGAAAATGTCAACTAGCGGAGAGACAGATTTGATATCAAGGAAAGGTGAAATATAGGAGACACGAAAAGAAGACAAAGAAACACAAAACGAAGCGTAGAAGTGGCACAACACAGAAGAACTTTGCAAATGACGACTTTAATATATGGTTTACATAATTTCCCTATATGCGTATAATACTAATAATCATGATTTACTTTATTCCAAAAACAGTACTTGTGATACAGAATGGAATTTTCAACATTAATCACAATATTGCATCTAATGTCCTCAAATTATAAGTAAAATTAATCACACACACACACATTTACAATAGAGGTAGTGTCAAAAACATGCAGCATGTAGAATGGAAATAACAATAATAATGATAACAGCTAGGGTAATAATAATAAGAATACCAGTGAAAATTGCCGTTGGCTTGTGTCACACAGTATTGGCAATGTGGTATAGAAATCCTAACATGTTTAAAAATATTGAATATAACGTTCTCTTTACATGATATGGTGAGGGGAAAAACAAAGATTACAGCCGTCATGGAGATAAGTTGGTGTTCGCAATTATGAGAGTAAAACAAAGAAACAACGGGACCATAAATATCATAGAAATAATAAAAGTAAAACTTGAATGTGCACAAGGATGCATGGAGGAAATCGTTTATTTACTAGATGAAAAAAGGTTAGTTAATTCTTGCCTGACACTATTTTCATCACATAAAATACGTGCCAAGTATGGTATCATAGACTTCTTATACTTAGACGTGCGAGCATACAGTTTTCTGAAGTTACTCCTTGTTCTACCTGAGGAGATGCAAGGTGAAAGCTGAGGGTAAAGCGGATGCTGCAAGTCAGACAAAATCCCTCTAGCAAATTTATTGCACTAAGTCAAGTGCCTATCGACAACGACATTAACTATGTGGTCCACTGGGACACCACTCATCCTACTGACAGTCTTCAGTATTCTACGAATTGTGACATAGTCTTTTTCAAGCAAACCAGGAAAGAATAAGGGTGAACAATAAAGAAGAATAGGTAGGATGCAGGAGTTTATGGACTGTAAGAGGAGGGGTTGAGTCATGCTTGAGTGCCTTAACTTCTGAATGTAAAATGTCAGGCGGAATATTTTATTGGAGATTTCTAAGACATGGGAAAACCAGGAGAGATCAGAAGAGAGAATGAGTCCAAGATACCTAATTTCTGATTTGATTCCTATATCACATTGTCGTCAATCTTAAAACTGTCATGAGAATCGACGGATTTTTTTAACTGTCTTTTACATCTTAAGCTGAAATTAACAGTTTGCCATTTAGAATAAACATTCCGTTAACAAGTCTCTTGTCTTCTCCCGTTACAGTATCACCAGCTCTCCCACCCAAAAGATGTGGTTGATTGCCGACTGCATGAAACTGCAAGTGGCTGTTGAATAGCAGATGAGGTGTTAGAATACAATTGAGACTACAGTGAATGTTTTTATTATCTTAGTGTACACAATGCTATCGAAGAATGCCATCGAAAATGTATTCTGAGGAAGCTAGGACCGTTGGAATACGGTAGGAAAATTTACGATCTATGGTTAAAAACTATCAATGGGACAGCTGCTTAATAATAATAATAATAATAATTAGCTTTATTCCAAAACAGTATTTGCGATACAGAATGGAATTCTCAGCATTTTACTATACATCAAACGGCATATATTTCATGCAGAAATTTACCCTGTCCCAATTTAGCTCTAAGAGATATAACCACTGGAAGTAGGTACTACGAAAATAATACAGATTTTTGAGCATAAGTGTCTTCGTTCAGTTGTCTGCATAAGCTGAAGCAACATTAATAAGTAATAATGAGATTAAGTATAGAGTGTAACAGGTGAGGAAGCCAAATCAATAGACGAGAAAGAGTCACTTTTCATTCACGGAGAAATAAACGAAGAAAACTGAGTCACTGCCTTTCTCAAAAAGCAATGCCGGTTGGTATGACTTTGAACAATAAAATTTTATTAAAGTGTTGGTTTGTAGGTCATCATCAGGCATATAATACTGTTCCAAAATGTCATACATTTTTTGTTGTCTTTTTTTTTAAACTCGATTTCTTTGCGATTCGAGTGGAACATAGGGCTTTAAACTGTATGCTCTGAAGTTTCAGTAGCAGTGGTTGCGTTTTTTCCGGGGTGGGGTTACTAGCCCACGCCTAACTTTCACTCTTCACCTGATTTACTAGCCGCTTAGGGAGGTGTAGGAGTCTGTCGGCCGAGAATCGAACCTCGGGTCACGCGTGTGATTGGTAAGCATTCCACTGCTGAACCACTAGACAAATTAATCAGAAATGATATACTACTACAATGTCTAAGTTTCACACATTTATCAGTGCTGTTTGCAGTAGAATTAAATTGCAAAGGAATTACCGTTGGTCAGACTAAAACTTGATACTAGTTTATGAAGTCTTAAGTTATGTAAGTAGGTTCAAACTACCCATGCTGACGTTGTTTCCGATGTTAAGAATCAGTGGTTGCAGATTCTCAGTGGTAGTGTGGTGAGAGCTGGCTGCTAGCCGAATTGGTAGACAGTAATTTACGCCAATGTTTACGTCCCCAATATTGGTCGTGAACAAAGACTGATTCAACAACCAACCACAGCGGACTTGAAGTAAGCGGATACAATTAGGAGATAGATGATCTGACATTCAAGAAACAGCCACAAAGAGATGCAAGGTTAACTTTCAGTGAGAAACAAACAATCAGAAGACTGTGTTTTTCTGCTAACAATAATCTATAATACTGTACATGAAAATCTATAAATATGTGTTGATTTCCTTAATAAACGATCTGTTGCCTGACTCTCGCCTTCTGTCGTTACAGTAGTATGGTGCTAGTGCCTTTAATCCTTGTCATTTTCGAGATTCTAAACAAAACCACCTTTCATTTGATTATTATTATCTCAGAGTAAGTGGATTGTTGAGTGGAATTTAAACAGAAACATTTTATTGGAAAATAATAAATCTGAGAGGGCAAGGGTTAAAGCTTCTATTGTGCTTCAACAATGCAAAAATCGAATCCTCACCAGATGAGGAGGAATTCATTTCTCATAGGTTAGCGAAATGATACGTGGATGAACCAATAGTAAAAGGCTGAACTTTTCATAAAAGGCGCCGCCATAAAATAAAACAAAGAATGCTGTGAACAGCAAAAAAAGTGACACTTTCGTAATGGAAGTCTATCACCCACGTGGCTATAAGTCTAGTTATTACAAATTCAAAAAAGTGCCTTTGTTACCACTGTAAAACTTAAACAAACGAAAATAGATATCACTTTGAAATGACGTTAGATAAAAGAACATTTACCTGGAATCTTAGATTGTATAAGTTTCACATAACTTATACCCGGATCAACAGCTCCAACCTCTGATAAAAATCCTTCATGAAGGCGATTCTCTACAAGATCTTGAGGTGATTGCAATGAACTGTGACCAGTTGACGTCAATTCAACTTGATAGTACACATAATCAGAACTTCCGTGTAAATCCTGAGTATTTGGTTCAGTGGATATACGAGTAATATTAGTGACACGTTGAAATCCAACAGCTGAATGTAGAATTCCTTCTAAGCTGTTGCGTATATGTGATTTCAAAGATGCATCACGATCCTGTGACATACCAATGGCATCACCACGCGATTCACCACCATCTGACGAAGGTAGAATACTTCTAAGGCGTAAAGCCAGTAAGACTGAATACACAGCTGAAAGACAAAAGAAGTGATAGTCTACAACAGTCAGTATAGTTCAACAGATATGATGGTAAAAAACTCAGCGTTTCAGTTTAAAAAAAATGTATCTAATCTGTAGAACATTTAATAACCTATTAGTATTTTTTTTAGAAAATATTGTAAACTGACTGAGTTTTAACATAGAACTTAGCACAAGAGTGCACTAGTTGAAGTTGGCACATTCCATGTAACACACGAAGGTGGTGTACACAAAAGAGAGGAAAAACAGATTCAGAAGTATTATAATAATCAAAAATGTAATGGATAAAGAATCATAACATTAGGGTTCAATGTGCCTGGGAGTTCACAGAGAGTGAATGCATCTGCGCCAACCATTGAGAACAATTTCTAGCATTCAGAGGACTTCAACTAAGCAGTCTACACCTCTCTACGTGGCTGGCTCAAACTAACTGTCAAAGATTTTCAAGTGTTGGTTTATAGGGATTTGATTGGTTACAGGATTTCATCATGAGCTGACATTAGTTAGAGAACCATTAGAAGACCTGGGAGTACTGGACAGCTGTTTCGTCCTAGTTGGGGACTCTTCACCAGCAGGCACCCACCGGGATTCGAACCCAGGAACTTCTGGTTACAAGGCGAGCTCGCATACAATTAAGCCACTGGGATCCGATCCAATGGCCAGCCAGTGCGTGAATTCTAACTTCTGCCAATTCACGACATAGCGCGACCCCAATGTCTTCAGTGGCGAGTATTTGTCCTCACACCCGACCTGACTTTCACGCAATTCTTACTATAAAATGTCATGCAGTCATCCTGATTTGAAATACATACGTCCAGCCACTCAACCAAGATTAACTAATTCAACAGACTGAAAAAGCTAAAAACCTAAATAAACAAAAACGACATACTTGAAGAGAATAAACGATCAAGTGAATGATTTAGTCAAAACTAGACATAAAACTATTTAACTATTGGAAACATTAAATAAGAAATGTATAGGCGAAAGACTGACCATAGGATATCTTTGTCTGGTGAAGAAGTACTAACCATGTTTGACAGAAATATGACACAACAGTGCTGGTAATAACTCTACTACCGAATGCAAAACAACAGAAAGGAAATTATGAGAAATATCGTAAGTTAATTAATTATTAATGCAGACCTGTGGTTCGTGTTATGCAGCAGAATAAGGCTGAAGATGTAACCAACCTGAACAGTTACTGGATGTATTCCTAGTGTAATTTACTAATTCCTATTGCCCTCAAATTATATCTGATATGCAAACAGTCACCTCAAATAAATCTGGTTAATTTCACATAATGACAGCCTTAGTGGGCAGATATTAACTGTTATTCATAGTCACTAGTGATCTGAGTCATTCGCAACTTTGTTTGTGATGATTAACATTTCGTTCTTTGCAAATATATCCTCAGCCTACTTCTTATCATCAGTTGTGCTCAGAATAAAATGATATGATTATTCTGCAGCCTGGATATTTAAGTTGATAAATGGTTTATATATATATGTTAAGCCGTGCTTGAGGACTTTCATAATAAACAGGATTCAAACAAAAGTTGTTCAGTATTATAATCTAGAGAATTACGAAAGCTTCTCTAACTGAGATGAATTGAATCATGAAGTGATACAGCATGTAACGACACATTAATAATAATTGGATGGGTTTTTGCGCTTAATTTATTCCTCATAATCATATCAAAGTGATTTGAGTATACTTCTTGATAATGCCAAAGTTCTGTTTTATACTGAGGGTGTCTATATTTATTTTTTTATTTTTTGATTACAGCTTGATTCCACACTGTATTTTTTGGTACAAGTATGGAATTTTCAGCATGGATATCGTTAGCCCAAAATTTGTTGGCCAACCATAGATATTAAGTGTGCGTCGGCAGGGGATCGAACCTCAGACCATTTTCATGGTCGGCGAGAGTCCTAACCACTGTGCCAGTCAATCTTCTGTATCCGTGCAGAGGTTTCGTCAGTGATCAAACCACTAGCGTTGGCTGGTGCAACTTCCCAAATAAGTGAAGTGGTCAACCTTCTTTACCACTTCACTCCTGTCTATCTTTAATCTAGGAGTCAATGTAGTCCAGTCCTGTAACATCATCTTGCATTTGGCGGGAGCGAATCGCATGCCAAACATTCGCAGATTGCAGCTCAAGATGTTCAGAAGACTATGCATTTTGTCAGCGTCTTCACCTAGGACTATATAATTTGCATATTCTAAGTCAACAAGATTATCCCGTGGTAGCAAGTCAATCCCTATATCTCTGAAGTGAGTTAGGATTAAGTCCACGAGTACTATATCTATGATGACATTGAACAGAAATGAGGATAGTGGGCATCCCTGTCGGACACCACTAGTTGTCACCACTTCAGATGACAACTTTCCGCAGGCTCTTACCTGGCTGAATGAGTTCGAGTAGAGTGCCTCGATCAGTGAAATGTATTTTTTCGGCATTCCTTTTACAGCCAAACATCGCCAGAGTACCTCTCGGTCGACAGAATCGAATGCCACCTTTAGGCCAAGAAATATGACGATTGTTAGACGCCGGTATGTATGCCTATGTTCCAGAAGCTGTCAAAGGGTGAAGATATGATCAATACACTCTCTTCTTGGTCTAAAGCCTGTCTGGTTCTCTCGTCTTTGCTCCTCGCATGGACCACTTAGTCTACGCATCATTATTGAGCTTAGAACTTTAGATACCATATTAGTCAAGCTAATTCCCATGTGATTATCGCAGGAAGACTTGTCTCTTTTCTTGTATATCAGGATAATCATTGACTTACACCAGCCCAGTCTCTGCCTAAGACCGAGACACACAGACAGTTAAACACACAGTAACAGACAGTAAACTGTCCCCACCGTAGTTAAACACCTCTAGAGTCATTCCATCGGGTTCCGATGCTTCGCCTCGTTTCATACTAATGATAGCTTCTGTAACTGATTCGCCGCCAACAGTTTACTCTATGTCCATTTCAATTATTTCATGATTTCTATCAAAACTTTCAGTTCCACAGACGACCATTTTCAAAGCTCATGCAGTAAATTAAGATTTACTACAATAAAAAAACCCTATAATGTAAATTTCAACTTCAGATTTATGACAGAATACGAACGCCAAACTTCAATTAACTTTTGACTTTTAAAAAAATACTACATTTAATGCCCAAAAACACACCTGTTGAACAATCACCAACTTCAGCTGGACTGGCACGTGTACCTAAAAGTGTTTCTCCAGTAGTTACATTGACACAAAAACAATCATATTCATTGCACTGTCTAGCAATATATAAATCTGGTCTATCTGGACGACATTTAGGTACATAGGCAGATACAATTCTCCCATCTTCAATAGGCTGATAGTGTTCAGGAATTGAGGCTGTTTTATTGAATACATGTGAAGAATCCTCTGATGATTCCTTTGATATCTCTTGTAACCTTCCATTCTGTGATTCTTGCTGTTGAATCACTCGTAAAGTATCCTCACAGTTAGCTGAAGAAACAAAGAAACAAGTAAATGATGAGTAGTGTGTGTATAACAACTCAGCTAAGATTCATCGTTTTTTATAACGTTGTGACAAAATAAAAATAACCAGTAGAATTATATTTGAACTGATGTGATCTTTTTTACTGTCCCTAAAGTAGGTAGGTAACTTGAAAAGTTCAATCCTACGAATAGGATTATTGACCTGGCTCTACGACGAGGAAATTGCCATACCAGAAAAGAAACCTTGTACACAAATATCGCAAATTTAGTTACACAGAGCACCATGCAAAATTATTCTAATACAATAGGGTCATATATTGCAGAAACTGTACATACTGCTCTTTTGAAACTTATCGGAAGATACTAAGTCAACTTTACCCTTAGCAATATACACATGCGTCTTACTGTTTACACCGACAAGTTCAACTTTTAGATGGGATTTCTAATAAAAAAGAAACGGGAATCTCCGTAAGAATTCAAGCGATGTATACCAACTTTGATATTTTGTAGGTGTAAAATAAATACAAAAAGTTATCGGGGACTTGTAATATAATTGTACACCACCACTGATATCGCTCCAATCTCTTTGAGTATAATATTCTCGAATAAAAAGACACTAAATGGACAACTCTAGTGAATATTTAATTTGGTTTGTGTGGCAGCCATATGGCAGTTCATCACAGGGAAACATGAAAATACGGAAGTCCATGAAACATTCTCAAACAACCTAAAGTAGTATCTATCGTAGTATGTTGAGGAGGCATATATATATCATACACAGCAATCACTTCTATCCTTTAATTTAAACTTTATAATCTAACTTAAACAGACTATTCTGAATCATTGTACAAAAAGAATAGCAAGTGACCTAAGCTACATTAATAAATAACTTTTACTCAATGGCTTGACGACTATAAACTATGCTTAATGAGTAGGAACTTAAGGTAAAGCTCAACTATCCAAGTTTTTTAAAAACAACTGGAAAACCCAGTTTTAGAAAAGCTGAAGGTTCTGCTATTGATGTAAATATATTGGTGGAATATCTACAAACCATCGCACAAATGGTAGTCATAACCAACTATGATACTGAACACGAGTTTTCAATCACACTTCTTTTCCTTAACACGCTTAAGAGTACAGTGGGTAGGAAACTTCTAATACACGGATAGTGTTTGTAAATTTCCGCATCTTCAGTATCGCTAAGCAATGCACTGAAGAGAATTTATATATATATATATATATATATATATATATATATATGTAAAGTTGGCAAGGTTTCTGTGAACCATTAGTTCGAATGTTGATGAAGTCATAGCAATTTGAGTAGAAAAGTGGTCACGCGTAGATTGTCATTCACAGTGTAATATATAAACTGGTATGTGGTCTTACAGTTGCACAATTTAATCAATAATCCATCAGTTAAAGTTACTATTTTTCACATGAACACATTAAAGATAAGTTGAAAAATGGAGGCGGGGAATAAAGCGAATTTCCGAAGAAAAGAAGGAGATGATGAAAATAAGTTACCCTGCGGAATAAGGAAAATGAGGCACTTCCACAGTCAGGACTCATCGAAATATAAGACAGCGACCCCTACGTCACTTCATACGGACTATTATTGATGTCGGTAGCATTTTGGATCCGAAGTAGGAGATCCATGGTTTGTGGTACGACTCTAGTCTACAAAATACGCTGAGACCGTTGAGTAGCATCACGCATCGGAACTTAGACAGGAATTCTGGAGATAACATGGGAGAAATCATGCGGGAAAGAGATGAAAGCCTATGGAAAATCGTAAAGCCAGATAAAACGACTGCAGAGAACCGAGTGAGATGGGGATGTGCTGGTGAAGCACGATGCTCCCAAAGGAACACTAATAGTTACAACATAAAACATGTGGTCACTGTTAAGTATACAAACATAAATAAGATCGCTCAGTACAAAATTACTGAGTAAATGTAGCCCGTTTTTACTCCACTGGACTACTAAATTTATTTCAGTAAATTCGGCAAATCAAAATGTTTGGAAATAGCTATCCTATATTTACTTGAACTGACGAGAAATATTTTTTAAAGTAACTTCGAGTATATCTTGTTTTAAGTGTCGGTTTTAGTAGGGATTAGGTTTGAATCGTTGGGGAATTTTATCATCAGCTGACATCAGTAAGAGAGCCATGGGAAAACCTGAGAATACTGGACAGCTGTTTCGTCCTAGTTTGGGACTCTTCGTCAGTACGCAATCAAACTAAATCCCTACAAAAACCAATACTTCAAAATCGATCTGATGCTCACTAGCGACTAGCCTTATTCAGACAGTTAACCTGGGTTTCTAGTGGGAAGCCGTGACCAGTAGGGTGCAGCAGGTTGAAAGCAAGTAATTCAGTAATTCACTGAAGAAGACATTGTGAAGTAGTCGCACCATGTCACTAACTGGCAGAAGTTCGAATTCATGCACTGGTTGGCCATTGGATCGCGTCTCAGTGGCTTAATGGTCTACGAGGTGGCTAACATTGTAACCGGAAGGTCGTGGATGCGAACCGTCGTCAGTTGGTGTGTACTGATGGAGACTCCCAAACTGGGACGAGACAGCTGTCCAGTACTCCTAGGTTTTCCAATGGTTCTCTAAATGATTTCAGCTCATGATGAAATCCTCCAACATATCTCGTTTTAATTTAATTCCACTTTTGACTACATTCGAAACAAATTAACAATAAGTTATTCGGGGGTGAATAAAGCAAACTTATGTGAATTAGGTATTTAATCATGAATGAGTAAGTATAATACAGTGTATGGAGGAATAACATTGTAATATAGCGTTTAATGGGAAGATTTTATTACGCCGATGAACTTTATTGATTTGAGCAGATGTGATACCACTGACACTATATACATTGGCGTTGAAAAGAAATATTCAATATGTATTGACCAAGTCAGAGAGGACAAACATAGTCCTTTTAGAAATCCTTAATCTTATTTTCAGAATACTGATACTTCCATTAGTATTTTTTATTTACCTTTCAAGCCACCTGTTAAACGATACAGCTAGTAAAAAGCACTTTGGCTGATACACTGCATAGAGAAGTACGGATGTTTAAATTGGTATTCGCATTTACCAACATATAAGATCAAAATTAGCAATCGATGTTAGTGACGTCTTGCCATGTAAAAGAAAGCAAAAGCATATAAAAAGACTCTTTAAAGCAGCATGACAAAGAAACCGTAGTCCCTTCGATTTCCCGAGCAATATACGTTTTGTTAAAGTGGAATGAGATCACTAACAACATATTATCGGTGCTTTAGTAAGACCACTTAAGTTTGAGTTAACCTAGGAGTTTGGAAAGTCACTGCCTATACGTCTGTATTGTGTATACAAGTTTAAGTCACATGTAAAAGTCCAACAATTTATTGAAAAGACCAAATGAGTACATGTCAAAAGTACAGCATAGTAATAAGTATCATCGAAACTTAAATACTGGATCAAATCTGATGCTATCAACAAGTTGAGCACCAACGGGATTATTAGAAATAAAGAGTTAAGCAATTTGTAAGGTATCAAGAAACAGACCATACCCGGATGATTTTCATGAATATGTCGTAAAGATGTAGGAAATATCACTCAAGATAGTGGACAGTATTCAGTTTCTTATATAACATGAGGATCTTACATTCAACCAACTAATAAATCCACGAAGCTCTCCTAGCAAAGCGTGACCATAACAAATAAAATCATAATAAATACATAAATTTAGTCCATTTGTGAAGTTATGAAAAATAAGTCTGATACTAACTATAAAATTAAAAAGTGGCACATATATATGTTTGATTAACTTAAACATTAACGTTTTGCATCCTAGCAAATCAATACTAAGGGAAACTACGAAAACAAGTCTACTAGCTCTGAGAGCTTTACAGCATGCAAAACTATACTTAACCCTAGACGTAAATAAAGTGCAGGCAACAATACCTGTCATACAGAAATCAGGTGATAAGATAATGTATTTCACCGAATAATACGAGAGGCAACAGCATAAACCAATACTAGTAAAAAGAATAACGTTAAGTAAAGAATTAACAGCGAGTGAATGGAAAGGTGACTTGTCACATAAAAGTTTATTCATCAGAAACGATCCCGTGCCTCTGACACATTTTATCAGTAATGACCCTGGGTAGAGAAACTCGGTGCACCGTAGAAATTGCGAGCATTAAAACATCAAAAAGATTAAGGCACACCTCCGAGTGTAGGGCCTACCTGAATTTATCAAAGTATCTCTAATGCGCCATAATGCTTTGAAAATATACCGTATTTATGTGACGACTTTATAACTGTAGTATGAAGACGTTTAGTATTTATTTATTTATTTATCATTACTATGAAGAGAAAAATGTAGGCAAAACTTATGGGATCACTGAAATAAACACAAATATTGGGTCACCGCTTGTAGTACTCACAGTAATTATGAGGCCACGGATGCCCATGTGAGCCTGTATCAAAAATATTTGTTTGAGGTAGGCAGAGTCTAATGAAGTAAGTTCACAACATGCTACTGTCTATCGACAATAGAACAAACTCGAATAATAGTTTTATGCCGAAATACAAAAAAATAATAGACATGGTAAGGGTTCCACTATTTGGTGACATGAGTGATACCCACTGTCTTAATACTGAGTTTTACCACTTTTGAGGACATTTCAAAAAATGAGGATTATTGAAGTCATAACTGTCTAGATATTCCAAGACCAGGAGAGCACAAATAATTTAACTGAATTGAATAATAACGCCCTTTATTACCACAGCATGCATACTGATAACTCCATCCTTAACTAAAATACAACTTTATGGAGCTTCAAATTCTCACATTCAATAAACGTCGTTCGCCTCCACTGCATGATTATTTATTTGTATGACTTACTATTCGCAGTATCACCGCCATCATAAACAGGCACTACTAATCCATCCTCAGAAAACGAACTATAGGCCTGTGAAACAGCTGAGCAAAATAATAGAAATATAAATCGACAATAAATAAAGGCATCCATCGAATATATCCAATTGATGCGCAGTATCTGAGTTCATAGTGAATTGAAGCAGTAAAACAAAACCCACCTTCATTCATTCGAGTGACGTAATGATTGAGAGTAATGGGGAATAAGCTTTTATCCTACTCTGGTAGTACGCCTTAACAGAAATTTCAGAGCAATAATACTTAGTGAAAGCCTGCTATTTAGGGCCTGATTGTTGGCTAATTAAATCAACAGGATTCTTCATATTTGTACCGTGATTCTCAACTATTTCAGTGGTCACAAATCAGTTACGAAGTTGAGTGTAGCACTTTTTTCACCCTGTTAGCTCTTCATTCCATTTTATGAATATGCTGGGTGATTATTGCTTCCCATAACGGATAAGAAAGGTGCTAAATTGCTTAGACACTGGCACACACGTATTTCTAACACCCAGGCGATGCTCCACAAACTGTTATCTCGGTATTTTATTACGTGACGGTCAGATTTTATTAGCAAAATCATGTTTTCATTTTAAATGAAAGTGTTTTTGTCAACTTCATGGAACTGCAATAACTAAATACATAAATCAGAAGGTCGACATTTTTATATCCCTTTAACGATGACTTGTTTTTTTCAGATATGTAGAAAAATTCTGTTAACAACCTACAATATTTCAGTCGAATTAGTAGCAGTTATGATACAAGCAGAGAAATATTTTTGAAATCAGAATGTGGTATCAGTTGTTTAACTTGGTTATGTACTTTTGAACTGCCAGACAAGAATGGCTACTACGGTTGTATAGGGAAAATCACCAGAAGTGAGATGAAAATTAACATCAATCCAAGAAAATAAAAAAATCAGGTAACACCAATTAATGTCATCCTTTTTAGGCTGTTTGTGCAGCATAACTGTGGTTTCTAATGCACCCTAAATGGGTGAACTCACTATTTCATGCTGTATAATTTGTTGTGGTCAGTGCTAAATATTTTAAATTTTCGTGCACCTTGCTCAAGAGATTAACTTTGTTCTGACTTTGACTCGTTTTCCTGTGCCTCACGTTCTGCGTGAATTCAAACTTAGTGTTATCATGACAACTGCTGTTTCTTCCGACTACTATAGACACAGGTGTAGTAAAAGTGTAGGGGATAAAAGAAGTTCGTTACCTCCATTTAACTCCAGTCGTTTCACCCTCATCGAACAATTTGTTCACGCGTGCGGACTCAAGGATATAATTAACAAGGGACAAGAGCTCGGTAGCTTTGCTGTGGTGTGATTATATAGTTGTAAACTCTCTCCAAATCGTCGTCAACAAACACCTCTTTCAACAACCGTAAGTGTTACATTTTCCCTTCACTATTTGGGGCGGTTTTAAAGGAAGTATGGTGATCAGGTTAGGTGGGCCAGGCCAAACAGTCCAAAGATAAAGTGGCTAGAGCTTGAATCTAGCAGGATTGATGGTCACACCACAATCGTGAAGCATTATTTCTAGCTGAAGTCAACTAGAAGTGGTCTCGAATCTTTTCAAGCAGCTTAACTAGTTGATTTCCCACGTGGGTATTACAAAGAACATAACCAAGAAGATTTCGCGCGTAATTACCTTTCACATAAAATCTCTATATATCTAAATCTAAACTTTATTCTCCTTTGTAGATTTTTAGGGGTAAAATGACAGCTTAAGCAGAATTTGATGGCATAATTTGTGATTATCTGCTTCTCGTTAGCCGCATAAAACCTAAACATTTTAGCAAGTGTATGCACAGAGGTTGACGTTCATTCACTTGGTAGGATACTCGAAAAATAATACAATATGCTCAGAAAGCATACTGGTATAACTTGCACGCAGTAGGTACTTGTTTAAAAAATATAACTACATGCATTGGAAAAGCGCCCCACATAACAAACGAGAGGTAGATAATTCAGTATTGGGTAACTAATAGGCAGCATGATATTGGGTTCGATGATTTAATAATTCCCATTGTAGCATTAAGAACACAATATTCACCGAAGAGACTCTTTTCAGTGAATTTATTATCAAGCTGTACAATCGTATATATATGGCTTTATAAAGAAATTATATCCGGTGAGGGAATTAAGGTCAAAGGTATGAATACATGAAATAATAATAGTAGTATGAGATGCAATTAAAATGTTTGTGATTATAATCATAGTTTAATGTCGAGGGTCAAAACAGTTAATTAATTAATTTAATTAATAAGGTGTATAGATTTTGGAAAGAGATATATAATTATAAGTTTAGTAGACGAATATGAAATGTTACATGACAGGGTGTGAAATTTGATAAGATAGAATTCAATATTGTAAAAATAAAATGTTAAAAAATTATTAATTTTGGGTTTAAAATGACAAGTTAGTCAAGTGGAAAAGATTCAGAGTGAGAATAGTAATAATGATAATAATACCACTAGTAATAAAAATAATCGAAGTAATAAGGGAAAAGTACATAGAATAACTAAATAAACAAGATGAATAAATGTATATCTCTTTACTGCCAAGGTAGAAGTAGGGATAGTACATACTTCTTTTGTACACAAAAGTCTGGCTTAAAGTCATGAATTGCCAAGGCCTCAGATGTCTTTAGAAGTCTGTAACGAAGAAACCGCGGGAAGTTAGCATGGATTCTATATATGATTTTGAAACCATGGTCAGGGTTGACAGAGTGACAGAAGTCGATCAGGTGTTCCAGAATAGAGCTTCGCACACTCTTTCTCCCTTGTAAAACCAAGCTGGTATATATTCTCGTGTCCGTGTGGAGTTCAGCTCGATTAATATAGACAGACACAAAAGGGGAGATTTAATGTAATAATGTGGATTATAACATATATACAGTAAAAGATTCTGCTGCAAAACGAAATAAAAGGCTCAGAAACCAAGCTATCAGGTAAGAAAGAACTGGCCGTTGTTTTGTTCTGAATGCAAAAGTGGGGTTCAAACGTCTAATGACGAATACTTCAGCTAACCTTTTAAGAATTAAATAACTATTTCTGCTGATAATAATAGGTTTCAATGTGTCTAGGTCGTCACCCATATCAAATATAATGCTCGATAATAGCGCTCCTAAAACCGTTATTTCCTTCGACATGTGAGCTTTTTGAAATATGTTCAAATAATTTACATTGTGACCTTCTTTCTATTATCTCAGTGTGACTGCTCATGTAGGTACATGTAAATGAACACACACGATTTGAATTAATACGAGAAGAGTACTCGTTGACATCTAATTACACAGAACGGAATGTTGTTGGACAAACAGAAACAAATTTGGCCGCAGGATAAATTCTTTGTGGTGGAAAAATGAAGCCTCTGTTAACTCCAGTGCGACATTATAATATCTGAAATTAACTCCTGTGAAAAAGGTTTCACTTCATTATTAATTAATGTGAACTTGGATGTCCAGATCTTCAGTACTTTTTCATGTATTTCTGAGGCCAACAGCTATTTCTCATCATCTCAAGATTTAGAAATTATTCTTCCGGTTTCTTAGCATAGCGTATTCCTCTGAATCAGTAAAACAGAGTTTTGACCGATTCTCGTCTTTAGCTAATTGGACAGAAACTACTGAAATTTAATTTACACCCATACGACACACACACGACATTTCAATTCTTGCACTGGGTGAGCATTCACGGTTTTTTCAATGGCACAACGATGTATATGGGGAGGTAGTGAAATAATATCGATAAAGTCGCTTTAAATAAGTAGAAGCAGTGCACACAGTATAATCCTGGGTGTAAGTAACATTTAAAATTTAACTACAGGCCTACAATATTCAGGTGTCGAGTTACAAGTGCCCAATACAGTAAGTTATTTCTAAAATCGTGAAATTTCTCGCGTAAAGTATTGGTTAGTTTGTTTATGATAATGTCCACAAAAATGCTGATTGCGAGCTGTTCTGTATGGCTCTCTACCAAAATTAGGCTTCTGACTCTCAAATGTCACAAAGAATGCGTCTTTAGTTAAATTGTAAATGTTACTTACACCCAGGATTATACTGTGTGCACTGCTTCTACTTATTTAAAGCGACTTTATCGATATTATTTCACTACCTCCCCATATACATCGTTGTGCCATTGAAAAAACCGTGAATGCTCACCCAGTGCAAGAATTGAAATGTCGTGTGTGTGTCGTATGGGTATCAATTAAATTTCAGTAGTTTCTGTCCAATTAGCTAAAGACGAGAATCGGTCAAAGCTCTGTTGTACAGAGGCAGAGGATCAAATCTTGCCACAAAATTATCAGGAACAAGGGATTTGGGATTATGAGACACTCGCGGTGTAAAAATTGGTACCGACAGAGGTTCACTGGCAAGAATATAGGCATGTAGTCAACGCGAATTCGTGTATCAACAGCCCCAAAGAAGCCGTTGCCTTTACTGTTTCTGTTTGTAGGCGATCACAACAATGAAATTACAGCACAGCGCCTAAATAGTGCATTAAAAATAGAACTCACTGCTACAGAAGTTCTCCGTTTATTCAAGGCCAATCCACTTTTGCATTTGGCCATTAAGGACGCACTACCTAACCTAACTTCCTCCTAATGAACCTGCCAGTATGACTGTTCTTGCAATGTCTATTACATTCCAGAAAACTAGTTAGTTAAACTGCTTGAATAACTCTAAGCTCGTTTCCGATCTACCTCAGATAGAATTACACCCACAAATGTTGCATGGCAATCTGCTTTGCCCACGTTCCTTGAAAACCCAGTTGACCTCCTCGCGTTCCCATCCACACAGATGAAAAAACTGATCATTGATGGCGAAGCTACGCAGACTCAACGAATTTGAAGAACTTCTTCGGTACACTGCATCCCTCCCTCCACTATAATAATAATAATAATAATAATAATAGCTTTATTCCAAAAACAGTACTCATGATACAGCAAGGAATTTTCAGCATTCAGTACAATATTGCATCTAATTTACTCAAAAACGACAAAAAAATTAAAAATACACATTACATAATAGTAATAAAACGATTGTTGTAGCAGCTACGTAGCAAAATACTGTGTGCCATACGGAGAAAAATATGTATAAAGTACAAAATTGTAGTAATAATAGTA